ATTATTTAGTTTGTTTAACAATAGAAACCCAAATCTATTTCTAGATTTATAATTTGAATGAATAAATTCATTATATAAATGATGTGTTGATAGGGATCTGAAGAGAGAACAGTTGCGCTGACAGTGAGAGGCCACAAGACGTTAGAGCTGTCGGAAGACAAGTATTATATAATAACGTGTTCTCAATCGGGATTCAGAAATGCTCGGTAAGTGACAAACTTTAGATTCTGCTCTCACTATACTATACCTCACTTTCATATGTTTTAAATGATGCTATATTTAAAATAAATGTGTGTTTGTGTTTAATGCATGCGATCATTGACTTAACAATAGCAAGATCTTAACGATATAAATAATTGTCTTACTTCTTGATAACAAAGATAAAAAGTGTGTACTTTTTAAATACAATGACAAATGATTAAAAACAAGAAAAATCATTTATTTGTCAGAAATGAATTATCACGCGTTTCACTCAAACTGTTGGATAAGGGACTGAAAGTGGTTCGTGTGGTTCACGGAAATCAATACACATTAAGAGCTGAAATCTCTAGTCCTGATGGTAAACGCATTATTATTATTATTATTTTTTTTTATCGATCTCTGCTTAAATCAGACTGATTTTGATCACAAAGTTTAGCAACAAATGAAATCAAGTTTTTGATTATTATAGTTAATGGCAAACAATTAATTAAAATGTTTTAATTTGTATTTTTAGAAGATTACAATCTAAGTATAAGAAACTGTTTTAGTTTCGCCGCCAATACTTCAGAAGTGGAGTTAATTGATGCCAATGGGTTTGTACTTCTAATCATTACATTCATTAATACTATAATTGCTAATCATTTAAATAATTTTCGTCATTAAAGATGTCCGAAATTAAATATAATTTCTGGTTTCAGTATGTTACTCTCGGTTAAGCGACTTCGCTGGTAAATAAGTTACAAATTTAAAGGACTTCAATTGTTTTAAGTAAAAGTTACGCTAAATTAGAATACATTTCGGTTAACGGGAGTTGAATTAACATTTAGCGATGAAACGAAAGCTACAAATGATAATAAAGACTTAGCTTTAAGTAAGGAATCGATTCAATTACTCGCCTCTACCACTGTCTTTGTGACCGAACCCGGGTCTCAACTTTGTAAGTATATTGTATATATTAAAAGCAGGCAAAAATACATCTCACTTGTCAGTACTCCCAACATATAACCCTTGTGTTGTAATTTACTGTATACACTATTATATTATAACATACTATGTACTAATATAAAGTAATAATGTACTCTAATATACTATTGTCCGAAAAGGGGGAAACACGTGGGGAAAGCAAATTTGAGGCTGGTTTAGATACAACATATATTTGTTTATGTTAAATTACTGAATCATTAAAATTTATAATTACATATTGAATACATACAAATTAAAATATTAAATCAAACATTACTTGTAATGAAAGTTTGTTTTAAAGTTTTGTGATTAGAAATGAGACTTAGTTTTAATGTCTCGTAGATTGTTTGCCACCCTAACACTTGCACTCTAATAGCCTGGGCTACTCTTTCCCCATAAGAACTCTAATATAAAGTCTATTCTTTAAAACCTTGATGATTCAATAACCACATCATATTAATAATATTCCCTATTTTATTCTGCCAATAAACAAAATCATATATAACAGATGTTTGTACAAATTAAGTATTATGTAAATATTGTAAATCGCCGTAGAATAGATGTTCTTACATGACTTACCGCCAAGGGTACCGACTATCGGGACACGTATTACGATACCATTATGCTATTAATAATGCTTTTGGTTAATATATTTTTGTGTTCTTCGCTCAGCTGTTCCTGCTTTAAAACAGAAGTAATTCAAGATATTTATATAATTTGTAACTTTAAAATAATACAAACATTGTTTCGAAAGGTGGAGGAAAGAGAGCCTTCAGAAGTGGAAGAATACGATCCCTACAAAATTGATTGGATCCCGAGTTCTCATTACGGCTCTCACGTATCGCTTAATAATAAAAATAATTACACGGGATATGTATCGGGAGGCGGCTCTTCACTAAACTCGCACCGCTCTTATAGTGGCAATGATAGCGATCCGTACGCACCCGTCCACCCCTCACGACCTCATAGTAGATATTCAAACAGACCCTCACAAACAGCCAATTTGTCACAAACACATGTCAAGTATTGATGTGTTTTAATGAAGTTTATTGAGTTGTTTGAGTGCAATAGAAGATTGATTATTAAATCAATTCTCACATTTCTAATCATTAATTAAAGCCATTCCTCACACAGTCTCGTGTAAATGCATGTAATCAATACATTTTATCATTCAATTTAAATCTGACAATTACACAGATTTATCAACATTATATTTTTATAGATTTGAGCTTCGGTTTTAAACCGAGAACGAATTTATATTATTTTAAATTGTAGCTTANGTAATCAATACATTTTATCATTCAATTTAAATCTGACAATTACACAGATTTATCAACATTATATTTTTATAGATTTGAGCTTCGGTTTTAAACCGAGAACGAATTTATATTATTTTAAATTGTAGCTTAAAACTACAATAGGATTTTAAAATTTCTACTTAACACAGACTTCAGCACAAGTTGGTAATACAATATGAATATCCAAAATTTAATAATAAAATTTAACTAAATTAAAAATAATACAGTCTGTTCTGGATATAAAATACACTCAATAGTATCCCCAATTCATTACAATCCTTATATTTTGAAATCATAAGTCAGTTGCCATTAACATAATGTTAAAATAGTATCGTTATAATAAACATTTTTGTTTTCATTATAATCCCCACTTCGTTATAATCCCTCAATATATTAAACACTTTCACATTGAAAGCCATACAAAATATACTTCAATAGTGTCCCCACTTTTAATTAACTATAAGAATTGGTGAAAAATATTAAAAATTAGTTAAAAATCTTTACTAATTTGACAAAGAAAACAAAATGTTGAATAAAACTCAAAATAAACTGTTTTTAAGATATAATTAGAATGTTATAATCAGAGTCAACAATAGCTTGTATTATTGATACATGGAGTGAATACAAGTTTATTATAATCAACATTTCATTATAATTCCCACTTTTTGAAAATTTCATGTGTATATTATAACCAATCTGGACTGTAATTACTATATACGAAAAATGCATAATCTTACTTATCGTTAGCATAATTAGAATTGTGGGACATTACAAAGTGTTTCATTACAGAAGTTAACATTACAAATAATTTATATTAATTCTTAACAGTAAAATAATTCTCATTGCATTTAGTGACAGATTAAAAATTTAATATTAAATATTTAGTGTTTAATAAAGAATGCGTTAATATTTCTATATTTTGAAGTCAATGTATATTTTATCAATTTATAAATAAGATAGTATTGAGGGGTTTGAAAACATAAGTTAAAAATATATTGTATTTTCCATTAAATTCTGTTTAGACAAATTTTTTATTAGTTTTTAGTGTAGTTTTTAGAATACACTAGTGTAGTTAGTGTAGTTTTACCCTGATGACCTTTATATAAAAGTCAATAAATTGCTTTAAAAATTAATAATAAAATATATTATAAGATAATAATGACATTAAACAGTCAATTAATGCGATATTATTATTATTATGAAACAAATAACTGGATTTAATTGAAAAATCAAAACAATTTTGTTTATTTTAGAATCACTCATAAATTATATCCCAAATCAAAGATATATTTTGTATTTATATGTAAACTGAAAAAATAATTCAAATGTAATTTTATTTTAAATAACTTATTAAATTAAAATTTGAACTAATTTTAAAATATTAACAGAAAAATATTAAAATGTTTTAAAACAAAAGTGTGTAAAATATATTTACAAAGAACATCAAAGCCTATGTTCCTATTGAGGGCTTAGTCTTAGTTGACTCAATAGGATTTGTATTTAAATATAAGTACAATTCAGATAAATAATTAAGTAATCGGAGCATTCAATCAATCGGTCATATTATGGTTGGTATAACTGAAGCCATCAAACAATGTTTGATCGATTGAAAGAGTAATTTTTTCGCAAACTGGTGTCAACTTTGGCTCTTCTTTAGTGAAATACACGTCAAAATATGAGACATCAAAAGATGAGCACTGATTTGGATTAAATTGAAATAAATGCATGCATTAATCAAATGTATGGAAATAATAATATAATAACTGACGAGTTCGGGTACGAAGGGTGGCTTTATTTGACATTTCTCTACTTTATGCCACTCAACACTTTTAAAGAATGGTTGTGTCCGTATGGGTCCGGCCGTACACATAGGCATTCCCAACCGTTGCTCAGCATTTTTGTTTAGCAACTGTTTTAAATCAAACAAAATTTTAAAATCTGTATACTTACTAAAAAGTTTTGACAAAATCTGTGAACAACGAGTTATACCCACTATACTTTACTGTATACAAATGTAGTCCTAATGAATGAGTTAATGTGTGTAAAATCCTAATATTTATAAGTTATTATATAAAATATTATTGGATACTTATAAAAGTCACAAATAAGATGTTGTATATCAAATGGAAATAATTATAAAACTGATAGCAATAACTGGTAACTTATGATCTCGATTTACATAATATAAAATGATATAAAATTCTAATTCTGTATTCATATTTACCAAAACCAATATATTTTTAATATTTTCGCTTAAATATAAGGGATAATTGATTTGTTCGTAACAGACATTCCAAAGCAGCTCTTCCTCATCAGTCCCGTGGAAAGGAGACGAACCGCAAACCATTTCGTACAACAATATGCCAAACGACCAAAAGTCCACCGATTGGTTATATTTAACGCCTTTGATTATCTCAGGCGCCATATATTCGGGGGTTCCGCAGA